CTTAAGAGTCTCAATGCCAACACAGATATAACTTCCCTGGCAAGGAAGGTGGTTGAAGAATGTAAACTCATTCATCCTTCAAAATTAAATGAGGTAGAACAGCTATTGTACTATCTACAGAACCGCCGTGATTCATTGTCAGGAAAAGGTGGGTAGAATTCCTGGCTTTTTAGTGCACAACCAGAGTTGTTTGATAATTTGTACTTTAGCTATCTGAGTTTTGAGGTTTTTCTTATTTGTTTGTTTGTTTTTTCACCAGTTCTATAAAGGAATAAGCAAATGAAAGAATAAACATGTTAGTTTCCTTTCCTTCATACTAGACTTTATATTAGAAACCTCTACATAAAATGATCTGATGATTTTTCATTTTGTGTATATATGTATACATATACTGAAATATGGAATAAAAAAGGAAATATGCCTATCATGCTGATGACACTAATAGAATAGTAAAGAATTTGAGGAAGAAAATGTATTTTCTTTGCCCCAACTAGACTTATATTTTATAATGTCTTTGTTGATACGTAATTTATAATTTAAATGAATTGTTAAGGTGTTAGAAATATATGTTATATGCTTTAGAGTCAGACTATCCTTAAGATAAAACTTTTATTGGGTGGCACCTGTGGCTAAGTGGGTAGAGCGCCGGCCCCATATACGAAGGGTGGTGGGTTCAAACCCAGCCCTGACCAAATTGCAACAAAAAAATAGCCAGGTGTTGTGGCAGGCATCCGTAGTCCCAGGTACTCGGGAGGCTGAGGCAAGAGAATTGCAAGCCCAAGAGTTGGAGGTTGCTGTAAGCTGTGTGACGCCACGGCACTCTACCAAGAGTGATAAAGTGAGACTTTGTCTCTACAAAAAAAAAAATAAAATAAAAAAGGAAAAGAAAATTTTTATTAATTTTTCTTAGGAAAATACTATTTTTTCATTTCTCAATATCTCCATTGTTTCTATTCTCTTATCTTCAATTCTCTCATAGAACAAAGCCATGAATGTATTAGACCTAAGAAATTTATTATTTATGGAAGCCATTTTCAAACAATCTGAAGCAGAAATCAAAACAAAAACACAGATATTTAAATAGAAAGTCATCTCATGATATTGAATTCTTAGTTTTCTCATTTCATGGTATTTATTAAGTTTACATATCTTTTAACACTGATGAATTCTAAATTATTTTAGAATACTTTAAATTATTCTAACAACATAACTGCCCAAGTTTTATTAGACTAAGTAGAAAAATATCATTTTCTTTGGACTTTTTTCAACTTAATCATTCTCTAGCCACAACAAATGCTTTGTGCCTAATAATACTTTTACTAGATAGTTGTGAATACAGTATATAACACGTATTATATGATTGTTGTATATTTGTTGAGTGAATTATGTGATTATGAATCAAAAATAGGCATTTTGAATTTGATTGCTTCTAATCACATAGCTGATACTAAGTGTATACTATTCTTGCTAATTATTAAGTGGTAGCTATGTAGAAATAAAAATATCAAGAAAAATTTTTGTTAAACAAATATTTTATGTTAGAATATTCTTAAGATGTCTATAAATGATGAGAGAGCATCTCCAAATAATTTCAAAGCGATGAGCAATGTAAATTTGTGTGTATTTATTATGGGTTGTTCCATATAGTTAAAATGGTCTTTCCCAGGGCCAAACTAATATAATTCTGAAGGCATTTATAATAAAGTTTCCTAAATTAGTAAAAGCTCTTTCACTGAATTTTCAGGATAAGTCAGTTTTTTTTGTCTGTCCCCAGAATTAGAGGAATTTGAAACAATTTCCATGTCATCATATGTGGATAAAATAATTCAAATCAAGATTTTTCTCTATAGTTGAAGACGTATGATATACCTTACTAAATTATAAACTATTTATATTTTTTAATATTTTTAAAAACTATTTAATTTTATTAGCTTTTACTTAGTATTCAGTATTTCAAAGTCAGAAACTTTGCCCTGAAAGTAATTAAAACAAAACAATAATTTTTTTTATTATGTGATTCATTACCTTAAATTATTTTTTTCCTTTGCTTATTTAAAACCACTGTCATAGTAAATTATTTGTTTTAGGCAAAGTTTAACTGTTGAGAATACATGACCTTATCTAGAATGGCTTCTATCTTCTGTAAATAATAAGGATTAATTCTATTATATGTATTTATTTTCTAATTTTAGAATTAAAATATTGATGCTATTAACTTACTTTAATGCACATGGATTGATTAAGTTTTTGAGCCAGATCACAAAAGTATTCTGATAGGTTTCTTTTGTTAAAAAATGAAATTATGGGCTCAGCACCTGTAGCTCAGTGGTTAGGGTGCTGGGAGGTTTGAACCCAGCCAGGGCCTGCTAAGCAAGGACAATAACCAACAACGCAACAATAACAAAATAACAGCTGAGCAGTATGGTGGGCATCTGTAGTCCCAGCTACTGGGAGGCTGAGGCAAAAGAATCATTTAAGCCCAAGTGTTTGAGGTTTCTATGACACCATGGTACTCTACCGAGGGGGACATACTGAGCCTCTGTCTCAAGAAAAAAAAGGCAAAACTATGCCAACCTGAGCAAGAGTGAGCCCCCATCTTTAAAAATAGATAGGCCACCATTGTGGTGGGCGCCTATAGTCCCAGCTACTCTGGAGGCTGAGGCAATAGGATTACTTGAGCCCCAGAGTTTGAGGTTGCTGTGAGCTATGACACCTTGGTACTCTACAGAGGGCAACAAAGTGAAACTCTGTCTCAAAAAAAAAAAAAATAGAAAAGAAAAGAAATAAAAGGAAAGGAAAGTAAACTATTAATAAAATAATTAAATGTAATACGTGCTCAAAGTTGTGTTTAACATATTTGAGGGGGGGGAGTGAAAATTAAATGAATTCAAATTAAAATAACAAATTAAAATTCAGATATTAAAAGATTCTCCTTTTAATGTATGATCTTAATTTTACTTGTTAAAAAGAATCAGTTAACAACTCTTCTTTATTTTAGCTTTTAAATGTACTGAAGTCATTTTAAATCCTTTTGCTTTATTAATTTTCATTTTAGTTTTTATATTACTGAAGTCACATTTTTTCTTTGCCTTATCATTTTCTTATTCCCACTTTAAATTTGAATTAGGAAGGGAAAGAGATGATACCTTAAAATAGACCATTTTGATTCTTTTTGGCAAGTCTTGCTGTATACCTTACATACCCCAAAAGTTAATCCAGGAGGAAATTGCAATTGCTGCCCAGCATAACTTGGGGATTAGTTATAGATTTATTAACTTATACTCTCCAAAGTATTTTCATTAGAACAGATGGATTATACATGAGCCTTTTTGTATATTGGAAAAATGATAGATTATTTGATAAACTAGTTTTAATATCCCTGGTTTATCTAGAATTAAATTCAGCTACTGAAAATAAAAATTATCCAGAAACCCTAAAAACTAATTCTCCTTATTAAAAAAAATCTTTTTATAGAGAAAAAAGAAAAATCAAGCAAGCCTAAAGATCCACCTCCTTTTGAAGGAATGGAGGTAAGAGTGTATATATTCTGATCTAACAGACTGGTAGTCTCTAGCCTTTTTGATACCAGGGACTGGTTTCTTGGAAGACGATTTTTCCATGGACCAGGATGGAAGGTGGGAAGGAGTGGCAGTGGAGCTCTGTGGCCGGGCTCCTCACAGGTGGCAGACCCAGCCTTGGGGACTGCAGCACAAAGAACTTATTCTAAAGGATTAGCTTTTACTGTCAGTAATGTACCCAAACACATTAATTGGATATGGAATTTTAAAAAAATTAAATGAACTTAGACTTGAAAAATTAGAGAATCAGTATTTAATTGATAAAGGTAAAAGTTATTGGTTGTGCTTTCTAGATGGTCTATTTTGAAAAATAATTGACCAAAATGTTTTAAATATTCTTATTGTAATGTTTTGAAATATTGTTTAATTTGTTGTAGTAGATACAGAATTCTTTGTATTACATTTAAGATATTTATATTTACAGCCAATTTTTAGACTTTGTGTACATCCCATTTTATCATATGGTTCTACATTGGAGTCCTAGTACTCAAAGGTCTAAAATTTTCCCATCCAAAAAGATGGCTACTGTGAGTTCTTTGGAAATCTGTCATAAAGGGTTTATTGTGCACAGGATATCATTTCTTTGATGGTGGACCTGTTGAGCATGGTCACTACTTCCTGCCTCTTCCTTTGTTTCAGATTGATGAAGTTGCTAACATTAACGACATGGATGAATACATTGAGTTATTATATGAAGATATTCCTGACAAGGTTCGGGGTTCTGCTTTGATCTTGCAGCTTGCTCGAAATCCTGATAACTTGGAAGAACTGCTGTTGAATGGTGATTTATAACTATAAATATTAAAAATAGAAATATTATGATGAAACATTTAAAAATTTTTTGTAATAGAAGAATAAGTTTAAAATTATTTATACCAAACTTAGGAATGCATATATTTTGCAGCTGTTCATTACCTTCCTTCTTCTTCATATTTCTTAACATGAAAGTATGCATTTAAATATTCTCTGGAGAATTTACAAACCATTTGATTTAAA